CGTCGTTCATGCCGCTCCTCCGGGACCGGGAGCATTCCTCGTATACTCCCATAAATTTTCGTACTTTTTTGTTGATGTGGCTCCATTTGGAAGTGAGTTGGTCACGGGTTCGGTACGAGCCGTCCTTCTTCATCGCCGTGAAGAACTTCTCCTCGATACGATCCCACATCGCATCCTTCGTTTGCTCCGTACCTTTAAAAAAGTATATAATTATTTTTTTTGACCACCATTAAATATAATATATATAAATAAAAATATAAATATATTAGAAAAAACAAATTTTTTACCAATGATTGGATGCTCGGAGACGTCAACCCAAGCCGACGCCAATATGCACTCCTCCTCCGGCGTCCACTTTTGGATTGCCCGTGCCGCATCGGTCAACGTGCCTTTGGCTTTGTGGCTCCTCCGGCGTGTACTTTTTTTCGATCCGGACGGTTCCGGTTGAGTCTCCGGAACCGAATCTCGGTCGACGTACCCTGATTGTTGCGTCTCGTATATCGGCAGTCGATCGCCCTACTCTTGGTAGAACCACATCGCGGCGTCACTCAGGGGGAGATTGTCGGGATCGAAGCCGGAGCCGGAAGGATTCATGTTGAAAATTGGGAGGAGAGATTTGAATTTTGAATTTTAAAAATAAGAAAGAAGAAGAGATTGGAGAGAAGGTGTGAGACATTGGTTGGGGAGGGTTGAATTTATAGGGAAAAAATTTTTTTTTATTTTTATTTTTGGGGTGCAACGGCTATTTTAGCCGTTAGGAGGGAGTATTACCGTTTCACGCCGCGTCAAAGGAATGACGCAGTCGCCCTCACGCCCGTTTCACGCCGGCGGGGGGCGGTGTTTCACGCCCCCGGGGCGTTAAACGCCCCGTAATGCCGGTGGGCGTGATAGGTATACCGTGTGCTCTCAGATAGGGCAACACGATGGGGTTGGAATCGCTACTGCCATACACGAAATCAGAGAAGAGCTTATGGAAGGAGATACATTGTCCAATTATTGGAATTGAAATGGAGCGTGTCAAGACAATTGGGTTAAATATCATAGGAAAGAGGCTCCCGCCCGCGACTTCAATAGGATCTGCTCCGGTTGTGATTTTGCAAAATCTCTACTTTTTGTCAGATTTTGGACTCAGACTTTAATTAATAGGCAAAGCCTAAAATCCATCAAAATCCTTAATTTAGAAAAATCTTTTAAAATCTTTTAATCTTTTAATACCATTAGATTTAAAAGAATACTTTAAAATCTATTTTGAATATATCTAGATTTTAAATGACTTTTTTAAATCTGAATTGAATACCCACAGACTTTTAAAATCTAAAAAATACTACAAAATCCAGATCGAATACATCCTCCTAAGTTGCACATTAAAAGTATGTACCAACATTTATATGTTAATATAGTTTTAGTGTAATGATTTGCACATGCATAAAATGTTGCTCGTAGTACACTTTTTTCTATTGTACTAGCATTTTTAAGTCGTGTAAAACTCCCTCCGTCCCCTAGTTTTTGTTCACTTTTGACTTTTGGAACTGTGCATCTAAGCACTTTAACACATCAAATTCTCTCAATGTGTAAGCCTAAATATAGTCATGTGTAATCTTGTTTGATTTGTCTTAACACATAGATTATTAATATATAATTTCTATAATTTTTTAATATACAAATTATAAGATAAAATAGATTAAAAAAGTGTATTGGATGGTGTGTAAAAATAAAAGTGGACAAATACTCAGGGACGGAGGAAGTAAGAAAGTTTGTGGCACAGATCCAAATACTCGTTCAATTAGGGATGAGCAAGTATCGAACCGATACCAAAATTTCCTGAAAAAACCGAGAATACCGAACCGACAAATACCGAACCGAAAAGTACTGAGAAGAAACCGAACTGAATGATCGGTACGGTATTCGGGAACGGTACGAGGTGACATCCCATACCGAAAATCCCGTACCGAACATATATACTAAAATATTATAAAAAATAATATCACGGAGTAATATTTTTATATTCTTTCATTTAATAATAATTTTTTTTTAAAAAGGTTCAAGTTCTATGATAGTATGATGTGTAAATCATACTTTTATTTGAATTTTAATTTTTGTATATGAACATAAAAGCATTCACAAAGATTCACAAAGATTCAAAATACTCCGTTGTTGTCATTCATTTTTTTAGTTTGTGAAATACGGAGTATAAACTAAGTTTTGATACGCATCTCTTGCATTTAAATATTCTTTTGTTTTTATTTTTCATATTTTTTTATTTAAATTCACTTTTAATTTTCAAAAATAAAGGGATACTGTTAAATTTTAACGTGTAAAGTAGGTATGTATGTTCATCCCGATTTGTACCGAAACCGATACTGAACCATCCCGAATCACACCGATATTTCGGGATTGGGAATGGTACGGAGTAAAATCCCATACCGAACCAAAATATTTGATACGGTATCAGTACGAGCTAAATATCGTACCATACCGTACCATGCTCACCCCTATGTTCAATCAAAGGCATATACTCCATTAACAAAAAAGAAAATGATATTTTAACCCTAAACCCTAAAATTTAATTCACTGTTTTGTAAGGTATGTAAGGTTGGTGGGTCAAGAACAATCCTAACAAAAGATAGGTGCGAGAGAGAAGACGAGTGCAAAAGGAAAACATACCGAGAGAGAGAGAGAGAGACGTGTGGCTAGGGTTTGATGCGGGAAATAAATCAAGGGATGAAGGAATTGCGTTAGCTGCCAAAGATGGGTGTGGAGAATCAGACTTAAAGCCAGAGTCCAGGTCGAAGCGTCGCCGCCGCGGATCAGGTTATCAGTTTAAACCATCAGTGCAATTATGCATGTGTTCCAATTTCATGAAATTTGCTTTATTTCAATTTTGTTGTTGTTGTGAATGTAGATCTGATGCTGGAGGTGTTAGGAGAGAAGGTATGCTTTCCTAATGCATCCAAGAGTCGACATCAACAAATCAATTTTTTTTTCCGGTTCTCCCGCTTCACTGATCTTAACCTCCCTAGCGCACACGCCCTAAGAAAGGAAGATAAGATCAGCTCATATTTTGACACCGAACTCCCCGTTTATTCCCAATCAAGGATATATGTGCCCAATGTTGAGGTAGGCAAACAGCTGGATGTTTTCGATTTGCTAGGGGATAAACTCTTGAGTTTCAAACAAAGTGTTCCCAGCTTTCGGCCCACCAAATTCAGAAGGTGTGTGGATTCGTGTGATCCGAATATCGGTGCACATAGGGGTTTGAAGGGTGCTCTTGATGTTCGAAGGATTCAACCCCACAAACTCAGTAGTATTGGCATGGAGAGCACCCTAAACCTGAAGGGTAAATACATCATGATTTGTTGTGTGTTTGCGCCTTTGGTGTGGTGGTCAAGCAGTGGGGACATGGCTCATTGCATAGCTTTAGCTTCTCATGAGCTTGCTAAAAGAGATGATTTCGTGCTAGTGGTGGTGCCAATGATGAGGATGGGTTTCACTGAATCTCGCTCTGCCTATCGACACTTCTTGTCGGGCTTTTCCTGCCATGCTGTCCCTTTCCATGACTCTCTTCGGCGCGAGTACATTTGCTCAGCGCTCGGTTTCGATGGTTTTACCAAAGCTGTGATTCTAGATCCATCTCAGAAGGTCCTTTTCCATGACACACCCTCCATGTTCTTTCAGTTTGGAGGAGATGAGCATGATTTCTTTCCCTTTACTCCAGAGAGAGAGGAGATTTGTTTGGCCCGTGATGATGATCTCGATGGTCTCTCCCTCAATGAGCTTTTGGGCCTTGGGGACTCTGATGTTCTGTGCAATATGTTGAAGGATGCTCGTACTACAGTTTCAGAACTTAAACAGAAGCTTGTGGGGCTTTACATGTGCTCCGATTGTAGAAGTTTAAGGACGATTCAGGAGGTCCGCGAGGAATGTAGGCGGCAAAAGTATGAGCTTGAGGTTGTGGTGGTTTGCTGCCCCCCTGATCGGGCGCCCCCAAGGTTGCAGCAGGAGTTGGTCATGGATGCTCTTGCAAGTCATAAGATGCTAGATGTGTGGTTTTTCCCCTTCAACAACACCGTATCCCAAAGGCTAAATCGAATGCGTGAAATTGACAGTTTTGAGGAAGGTCTGTTCATAGTGGACTCTAAAGAACAGTATGTTGATACCTATGGATTAGCAATCATCCATGACTTTGGCATTGGCTGTTATCCTTACACCAGGAGGACTTTGGTTGAGAAGGAGTTTCAAAGGTTAAGGGGACTGAGATTGAGCTCGTTACTACTTCCTTGGGAACATGTTTGTCGCAAGCCTGATGATTCCACCAGCTCAGTCGATGAGATTCCTGTGGCACAAGCGCTTAACAACAACAAGATTGTTCTTCTTTATCTATACACAGAGCGCTATAAATCTCTAGCTAAAAAATTGGCTGAGTTTACGTGGCTTGAAAAGAGTACTAGGAGAAAGCCTTCAAACGTTGAGGTGGTTGCTGTAAGCATAGATGGTAGCGGCGCTAGTCATAAAGACTTCATGGAGAAGGGGTTGTTGGTATGCAGTGCAGACCCAACCAAGTCAGCTAAACTTTGTGCTGATTTCTTCCACCCAGCTCTCGGGCCACACGAGACTCTTGCTGCTTTTGATGAAGATGGCAGGATTACATCCATGAAGGCTTCTCAATTCTTGGAAAAATCACTAGGTTCTCGTCATCCTTCATTCCATGGCGATCTGCGTGAAGAGATTCGTGAAGAATTTAATGAGGCTACGTATCTTTACATGCTCCACTGCTAACACTTCATGAAGATTTACATGATCCTTGCATGTTTTATTGTACTACGGAGTATAATTTAGATTATGAAACTTTAGTTAATTAGATCGTCTAATAGTTTAATTTAATTACTGAGATGTTTTTTTGAGTTGAAATTGTTGAGTTGAATTAATATAACACTCTTTCAATGGTTTTCTTTTCGGTTCTCACTCTTGATGTATTTACTGAACCAACATTATTAAGATTGATTAATGATGTAATTATGTTTCATAAAATTCTATAATGGTGTTCAAAGCTGTTTAAATTCACATTTCAGTTTTAAAATGTCTCACTATTAGTATAAGTTTTCCTTACCAAAAGAAGTGAAATTTGTTTTTCTATTTTGTCTTCTCATTTTCTTTTCCTTTCACTTTTTTTTTTCTCAGAAAAATATTTTTCTTCTATGTTTTCTTTTCCTTTGCCTCTCAAACTCCTTGAACAACAAATAGTGTTAAAGCTAGTCGCCCATCCCCCATGCGTGCAATGTTAGAGCAACTCCAATGGTGGGAGGTATTTTGGAGGGGTATATATTTCATTTACCTCTCCATGTGATCAAGTTTACCTTTTCAAAAAGAGTGCAACTCCAATGAGGGAAGGTAAATCAAAATGCAAAAGAGGGAAAAATACATCTCCATACATTATTGGGAAAAAATTAGTTGATTTACCTTCTTAAATCAAATTTCAATTATTAGAAAAGAAAATATACATTCTTAACAAAATCATGGGGAGGTAAATTTAAGGTTTGTTGTCTTTGTTTCTTCTTGATTAAATTTTTTAATTTAAAGATTTTTTAAAAATACAACTAATTTATTGGAAAAAAAATTAGAATGTCAGTTTTGAAATAATTAAATACTGCCTCCGTCCCTAAATATTTGCCACATTTGTATTCCCGAGACAAAATATCAAGATTTTTCAATCCATTTTATTTACATATTGATATAGAAATAAAAAATAAAATTTACATATCAAAAAACTACATGAAAAGTTCTTCGAAATGAGAGGCGTGAAGAATATTTTATTTTATCAAATAACCAATGAAAACGTAAAAATAAACAAAAGTTCCCGCGACTGCTGAAAAAGCAAACGTTGCAAATAATTTAGGACGGAGGGAGTATACATTATGTCCAATTGCACATATAAAATTATAAATACCTGAATAGAAAAAACTTAAAAATACAGAGTGCAAAATTAAAAAACAAAGTATTCTTGTTTTGTTAATTCTTGACTCATTAAGTTTTACAATTATAATGATACAAATAAAAAAATACATTCAAGCAAAAATAGAATAACTAAAGTAATTGATGAAATAAATTGAAAAAGTGGGAAAAGTTGATATACCTTCCCAAATGAAGAAGGTAAAGATACCTCTTCAAAATTGAAGAAGGTATAATGCCTCCTTATTTACCTCTCCCATTGGAGAATGGTTTTTAATATAAAGAGGTATATATCACAATTATTCCTCTTTACCCTTTCATATAACCCTTCTTTTGTGATAAATTTCAGGGGCGCTTCATCTTCAAACTCTTACGCTGCACTTTAACCGCAACAACAATCAAACCATTAAAATAAACCACCATTTTTTTTACACATTCTTTTATTCATCCAAGCCCATTACTCTTAACTTTTTTTTTACACACAACCAAATTTTTATTTTTCAGTTATGTTTCCTTAATTTCAATAAAAAGTTTTATTTCGTGACAACTCTTGTGAATACGACATGGGATTAAATTGACCCTTTTAGGAAAGATTTACTAGCGCTAAAATTCTTTCGTCAAATGGCGCCGGTGTCGGGGATTAATGCATAAAAAAATTCTAGTTAAAATTTTTTAGTTAGCTTGGTCGATTTTCTATCATCTTTACATTTTTTTGGCAAGCTGCATGCCAAAATATTATGGTTCTCCGGAACCTTAAAAAAAAACAAAGTGCAAATATTATCAGCACTACAATTAACTCCGAGTACATGTAAGTGTCAGCCAGCAACTAACCAATGACAACCAGCAAGCTACTCCGAAAACTACAGGCACTACAAACCAATTAAAAGCTAAACAAGAAAAAACATGAAAGAAAACCACTCCCTTTAGATTTCAGATATGTACAGGCATGGACTTTGACTCTTTGGACAGTATCTTCTTCTGAGGTGAGAATGACCACTCCAGTACTTGATATGTAGGTCAAGAAATTGAACCCAGATTTGAATATCCTTGAGCTCAGACATGCCTAGCTACCTTACAGCCTGGGTACCATTTTCACACATAAACTGGTTTGTTATCAGTAAAGTGATACTTTTGTTTGATAATTTCATCCCTGCAGGAGGGATTTGATTCCAACATCTCCTTCCAGAGAAAGCAAAACAGAAGATGCAAATGACACTTTTGAGCAGCCTACACCTGTGCAAATGGCATCGCCGTCCAATAGTGCAAGAATGGAGACTGAGGGAGACAATAATAATGGTCCAGAAACACCCTGCGAACTGAAAGTGCCAATACAGCCGGCTCAGAAACAAGAACTTTGAAGCTTTCTAACAGGTCCTATTCTTTAAAATAATTTACTATTCACATAGAAACAAACATGACTCATATATAAATCTATTAACAATTTACATTATAAAATAAGAATAATAATAATAATGCAAATGTTAAGATGCATATAAAACAATAGATCTATTTTAATTATTAAAAAAAAATTGAACTTTTTTTGGGCATTACTCCGTATAGAATAAACTAAAAAAAATACTCCGTACATAAAAATATTTTACGCGAATATATACCGGTCCATGCGGAGCACGGGATAGAAACTAGTGTGGTTATTAAAACTTGTATGCTAATTCAACAATTAAATCCTTCAAAATAAATATATATTCATGACAGCAACAACCCTGTTGAATCCCGCAACAACGTCTAGGAACAAATCAACAGCATATAGTAATTTATCCCCCAAAAAACATATACTTCCAACCCTTAGTAGGACAGCAACATCATAGTTATGCTAATGCAAAATGAGTTGAAGAAATGGAGAGGCAACTCTTGTTCCCTTCCCCAGTTCGCGCACTACTTCAAGTTGCTTCTTATCCATTGCTTGTTTTCTGCTCAAGGCGCTCAGAAAATCTAAGGAATGAAGAATTATTCCCTGAAAATTGAAATTTCTGCTGTTTGACAGATGGCTTCTGTTCAGCTTACTTTGGCCGCAACTGTGGGCAAGAATCTGAACCACTCTTCTCCAATCAAATTTCCCAGCACTTCTTCCCTGCCCTGTGTTCATATCTTTTTAATACTGAAACTCCAGGTCTGGTTGGCAACAACCACATCGTCCCTTTTTAAGGTTCGTTTATATTTTCACTACCTATGGGTTGTGTCCCTACTTTTGTGGATTCAACTCGCATGTTGTTGTTTTATGGGTGGTGTTGATTGTGACATAAAAATTTCTATGCATTTCCAACATTGCAGGCTAAGGATATAAAACAGCAGATCAGGGATGAAGTTACAGTGCTGCAGCGAAGTGAAACGACATCTTCTCTTGGTGTGTGATCCTAGTATAGCTTATCATAACATGGCATGATGTACAGAGCTTATGGACCAGAACAAAATGGCCAACTACATGATCATTAGAACTAGCTTTAGATTTAGAACCACTAGTATAGAAGGGGAGGGGGTAGTCCAGTACCTTGCAAATAGGATCCTCAAACTCTTAACAAAGTGTGGTTGAGTTACAATTTTTGTATGCAAGAAGTGCTGAAAGTAGGAGGAGGGAACAATTACAAAGTCCCTCACATGGCAAAGGATAAACTCATCAGAGAAGGAAATCTTGGAAATCTTCTTTGTGCCATACATCTAGAGGAAGGTGTATTTGAACGGACACATGAAATACTAAGGCAATAGAGAACTCAAGGAATAAAGGATGTAGAAGGAGACGAACACAGAATGGCCGAGTTCATGCTTGAAGATGAAAATGAATATGATTTCAATCATCAAGAGTGAACTTAAACATGTGGGTTTTTTTATTTTTAAACTTAAACAAGGGTTGATGCTCAAGTATTTTGTACTTTTGTTTTTTGAATTTTGAATGTGTGTTGTCTTTTGGGTTTTTGGGGTAGACCAATTAGTTGAATGAGGTACAGAATACTCAACCTTGTAATCAAATTTTAAACGTAACTATACATAGCCATTTTCTACCCTTTCATCTTTGCAGTTTGCACTTACTCATTATGCACTAACAAGTAATAATAGAATGCACACACCAGAACAAGCTCAAATGTACCTAGAGTAGTAAGCATGTATTAAAGGTCAATCACACAACACTGCATCTTTTTTTAAAAGCAAACCCAAGGAATAAAGCAAAGAGTGGCAGAGTACATAAAATTCTTTCTCATTCACAGATTCATTTAAACCGGAGTTCCGACCGGAGCTTCGGAACTGTTTATGTTGTCATCGGAAGCTGCGGTGCCGTATCCGAATTTCACCGATACTACCTTAAGATTGCTGCAGCAGAAATGGAAAAGGAACCGAACTTATAAAACTGTTCGGATTTACAACAAACATGATAACGAAAGTGGACTTCATCATGGCAACAGGACAGAGTCTAGAGACTTTGAGCATCGAAGCGGTAGAGTAGTGGTGGCCCACACAAGTTCGATTTGGTGTTATAAAAAATTAAGAGTTGGCCCACACCCTCACCACGACGTGTCGCGAGTGCGTGTCGTGATGTGCTGAGCCGGAAAGACGCCGACACGCGAGGTTCCTTTAATTCTTGATTCTCAAATTGCTTTTACAATGTAATTAAATGCTAGCATATAAATAGTGAAAGATAGAAATCCTCAAAATCTGATGTGAGACACATGGATTTTGCACCTTCTAACTCCTTCCAAGTGTTCGACTTTGTGAATTGATTTTTCGTTCAATTGCGCACCAACTTTGGCGCACAACATATCAGTCTCACTTTGGGGATTAATTGTCCATAAATATTTCAGGAAAATAATTTAGTGGACTCCACTAAAATTACATTTAAAGTTGTCCCGTTATTAACCTAAAAGTTCTAACTCTTTTTATATTGTTACTAATTTGTTCATGAAGGAACCAAAGTGAGGCTTTTTGTGTTAGGAATAATGTTAGTGTGTCACAACATGAGTGCTATCATGAGCGCACTCATGCTCTATAT